CGTAGAGAAGTCTTCAAGCAGTACCTGGGTGAGGGGTCTGAAGAGAGTTGGGAAAAGTACAGGGCCAAGAGGAAACAGGTGAAGGGACTAGTGAAAAAGAAGAAAAAGAGCATTTGGGACGAAGTAGTGCAGAAGGCCAACGGAGGCCTGGAGGGGAACGCCAAGCACATGTGGGAAGGGATTAGTGGGATGGTAAAAAAGACCGCGCAAGGGGGGGATACAGGGGTAGCAACATTGCGAGGTGTGAACGGTGGACTAGTCAGCAGTGGGAAGGGAAAAAGGGAAGTTCTAGCAGGACACTACAAGAGACTTGGAGTGCCTTCGGAGAATGAAGATTTTGACCAAGTGTTTAAGAAGGAGGTGGACGCATGGGCCCAGAAAGAAGAAGAGACATCGAAGGCAGACGTTGGGAACGTAGAACTAGAAAAGGAGTTCACTGAGGACGAGGTTGAGGCGTGTGTGAACAAGCTGCAGTGCCACAAAGCAGCAGGGGCGGATGGGATAGTAAACGAGTTCATGAAGTTTGGGGGGAAGGGGATGATCCAGCTGATGGTACTGCTGTACAACTGGGTGTGGAAAAACGAGTATGCGCCAAGTAGATGGAGGGAAGGAGTGGTTGTGAACCTGTTTAAGAAAGGAGACAAGACTGACCCAGGAAACTACAGGGGTATCACACTGTTGAACACAGTAGGAAAAGTGTTTTGTAAGCTGCTGAACGATAGGATAGTGGGAGTATTGGAGAAGAAACGTAGCATTAGTGAGGGCCAGGCAGGTTTCCGACAGAAGAGGGGGTGCGTAGACCACGCATTCACGGTAGGGAGAATCATCCAAGGTAGAAAGAGGGCGGGAAAGCGGACGTACTGCTTCTTCCTGGACGTGAAAAAGGCATACGATACCGTATGGAGAAATGGGCTGTGGAAACAATTGTCCAAGTACGGGATCAAGGGGAAAATGTGGAGGGTGTTGAAGAAGATGACAGAGTGTACGAAAAGCGCGGTCATGCTAGACGGAGAACTGTCTAAATTCTTCGACATTGAGCAAGGGGTCCCACAAGGTTGCACGCTGTCCCCAACATTGTTCCAGGTGTTCATCAATGATCTGTTGGAAGTCGTAGAAGCAGTCCGGAAGGGAGTAAAAGTAGGGGACACGGAAACTTCGGTGTCAGGAATGCTGTTTGCGGATGACTTTGTTGGTATGTCGGACACCCCTGAGGGACTGCAACTGCAAATTGACGCGGCGAAGAAGTTTACTGATAAGTGGAGATTGTCTGCCAACGTTAAGAAGAGTGCCGTCATGGTGTGCAACGAGGGCAGGGAGGAACCAGTAGAACATAGATGGAAGTGGGGGATCGAGGAGATTGCAGTAGTGGACCAGTACACATACCTCGGAGTAGAGATCGCAAAAGATTGCTCGTGGAATGCACACATGTCCAAGGTAGCGGAAAAGGGCAAAGCACGAGCAGGGAAGCTGCACCCAATACTCGCAAACCGGCACCTTGATACACGCATCAAACTGACGGTTTTGAAGAGCGTAATCGTACCGCCGCTGGAGTACGCCGGAGAAGTATGGGAAGGAAATAAGAAGGTAGTGAAAGAACTCGAGGCGGCGCAGATGAAAGCAGCGAAAATCATCCTAGGATGCTCCAAGCGCACAAGTAATGCAGCAGTCAGGGCAGAATTGGGGATCCAATCCCTACGGTCGGGAAGAGACGTAAGGAAGCTGACATGGCAGTATCGCATGTGCGGGATGGGAGAGGAGAGGTTGCCGAGAATTGTATGGGAGGCGAAGTGGGCAAACAAAAAGAGGGGTAGACAACCCACGGAATGGGTCAAGGTTGTAGAGGACGTATGGAAGGGATTGGACATCGACGAAGATGAAACGCTGGAAACGGAGGGTCTACAGGGGTTCAAGAAGAAGATATCTGTTGCTTGTGCCGACAGAGAAGAACAGAATCTAAGGAAAGAATCCAAGGATAAGGAGGGTCTAGAAGTGTACGGAATGTTGAAAGAAGGAATAGGGTTCAAGGATTACCTACATGGACCAATGGATGCAGGGACAAAGCTTAAGGTCAAATTCAGGACCGGGGACATAGGCCTTCGCGAACGTCGACGAAGACATAGGACGGTAGACGACGAAGACGACAAGTTCAAATGTGATTGCGGCTTCGAATGCGAAGACAGTGTTCATGTAGTCGCGGAATGTCCGT